CTTGCTTGTCTCTTGAGCTTGCTCTTATTGTACACTGATATATATGAGTATACCTGCATGCTTACACTTACTAGGTTCTGATCAGTGTACTGCTCTTGCTATTATATACTCTGCATGTGAACTGGCCTTGTGGCCGCTTGCTTGTGCTCAGAATGCGTGGTGATCTTGAGATCCACCCTGAGCTTTGTTTTAGCTTTGCTTTTTCTCTTGAATGGTCTTGTGACCATTGCTCTAGCTATCTCCCACTTCGCCTATGGGGGTGTGTCAAACATTATATAATCATATCTTGCTAGGCTGTAGTGGGTTTAGCATTAGGGGGTACAACACTTCTATCATCTTTTACTTGTATCTCCCTCAGACCTAATGCATCCATCCACGTTCTTACAAAAACCATAATGATATAAATTGAAAATAATAACAACATTGAAGTTTGAACATGTAAGCTAGATGGTCTGATTGCCACGTTCTAAACAGTGTACTTACATTCGAAAAAACACCATCGAGAACAACGTGATCGTCCTATCAAAGTTGTTTCCAGCTGCCTTTGTGACCATCTGCAGTCATAGGGAAAGCTCATAATATTTTAGGAAAAGCGAAAATAGCGAACCGACAATTCACATCAGAAGCAAACAATACAAATATTTTGTAAATAATAAACAAAATACGTACGATGGTGCTATATACAGCTTTACACCGAAATTACCTGGTTATGACATTGCTTGTTAAGCAAGCCTGCTAAGATCTCATTCTTCGCATCAGCTCCAGCGGCGGTCCATGTTGCAATGCTGAACTGCTCCAAGCCACTCTTGAGAGCACCTAAGCTAGCTGTGGCTTGAACACTTATGCGAGCAGACTTTCCACTTGTGGGATGTGTGTGCTGATTGAGATAGTTAGAGAATGATCATAATGGGTAGGTGTACGAAATTATGATGAAGTTTTAAATTATGCGTGGCATGCGCATAATTGTTGATGCAAAATTTGTGTGCCTAAAATTGTGCGAACAAGCAGCAATGGGTACCAGAAGATATAAAGAGAGGAGAATATTTGAAATAGGTATGATCAATAAAACGAACCCGAAAAAATAAAGTTGGATATTGGGAACGCAATAGTGAGAAGAATGCATGCAAGAATGAAAAGAGTACAAATGTAATAATACGAGACCAAATGCAAGTGCAACTTTGTGATAACATAGGCAACAGAGTAGCAAGATATGATAAGTTCGATGTTATGTGATAGGCCGGGAGAGAATGATTTGGATGAAGAGAATGATTTGAAAGAAAAGGCAGGGAGCATTGATGAAAAATAAAGATGAAGAATGCAAGCACACAACGACAAAGTTGTCAGCACATTTTCAGTCACACAAAACGTGCATCAGAATGCAGCATTGAGTTTGCATGCCCGTTGTTGTGTCAAACACAACAGCACTGTTGTCACGCCAGTTGCTTTGGGCAAGGCGTGTCCGTTGTCGCAAAGGTACGCATCACTGGAGCAGCACCAACCTACAGGCAAATCGCACACGCTCGTACCATCCTCTGGTGGGCTGAATGAGCAAGCCGCTCTGTGGTGATGCGAGCATCATGGATCTCCACGCTGAGTGTGCATGCGACCTCTCGTCCCAATGCAATAACATTGTTCTACGCTGCTCCCAAACTGCATAGAGTTTGTTATGATAATAACAGTACAAATTAACTTAAAGTTTGCAAATAATAAATAAAAAAATACTATAAGAGTACATGCTTTTTTATTAACACATGAAGATATGGAAAAAATGCCATGTCGTGTCTATTAGTGAAATATGTAGAATTTATCATTGCATATGAACAAAGAATTTGACATATTTGATGTTACATATAAAAGGACGACAAATGATAACCAAAAAAAAGTGTAAGCATAGAAGAATATTTCTTAGGAGTGTATGAAAGTGAAACAAAAAATGGGTATGGTAATTAGAAAGCATGTGAATGACGGGTAATGTATGAGAGATATTGGAAGTATTAAAATGAATGCGATAATCAACAAGCTAACAAAATTCGACACAGGAACTTACGATATGATAATACCGAGGTCGACAGGGGTCATGAGCAAGGGCAGCACTGTCTGAGGGTCGACAGTCGGGGTGATGCGAGCAGTGACAGCGCTGTCTGTAATCTTGATAATCTTCGACCTAACATATATATGTATTAGATATGTGATATGATAAATTTTCTAAAGATTCATAATAAATAAGAATACAAATATCATATGATAATAGATTGCAAAGACGGACAAAGTACACATGCTTTGTACAAATGTTTTATACAAAAATGAGCAGACATGTATGGCACCTTTTGTTCGTCATGATTTGCTTGTCATCCTGGAAGACCCCAGTGATGCACAAGACGATAGGTGTCTCCGTCTGGGAAGTCTTGGCCAGCTTCTGCTCCTCCTCCACCAACATCATGATGCGGTCCGCAGAGGTGCCCAGTGCTGTCAGGCCGTACGTTCCGCTCGCATCGCTAACCTCACATACAGCTCGTAACATAAAACTCGACTCCACCTTGCAAATTGTTAGCTTGACACGACACCCGTAGTAAATGTTGATGGGTGTGTGAAAATCAAAGTGAATGTACGTGATTGCAAAACAATGATCGACAATGTGTTCGCACATTCACAAACGCGTGATACAAGCTTGCAAGTATTTGTAGAGAAAAGATAAACAACAAATATTAGGTAAAATGAATATAGAAATTATAGGAAGGGTTTGAATTGTAACCAGTATGTGCGATAAAAAACGCAAAAGTGATAGGTAGTGGCTCAATCATAGACGGAAAATGTAGGAATGGAGTGCGTTGAAAGTACGGTATGGATGTGCAAACGAAATAGTCATCGAGTAAACAACAAGAGTGTGTGATAGAGAAACTGTTGAAGGATGAGTTATGCGCGTATGTAAGGCTTAACTGAAATGTGTGTGTGTATGTGTGTGTGTGTGTGTGTGTGTGTGTGAGAGAGAGAGAGAGAGAGAGAGAGAGAGAGAGAGAGAGAGAGAGAGAGAGAGAGGGAGAGAGAGCAGACCTGGCCATCCCGTATTGCAGAGCTAGGAAGCCGCCGGGGTGGGCAGTAGAGGAAGCTTCCGAGGGTAAGCACAGGCTCTGCGAGGGCCGTCCTAGCTACGCCGGGTTCTTTGGGCTAGCGGTAGAGACTTACGGGGCTCTGGCTAAGGACACGCAGCAGTTCATCCGTATGCTAGCCACCTATGCCGCCAAGACGAAGTACAGGAAGGGACGCCTCACGACGACTGCCGCCCACCTCAATGCACACTTCAGGCAACGGTGGTCCGTGGTGCTCCAGTGCAGCCAAGCGATCTCCCTCCTCTCCAAGTCAAACCGAGCAGCGGAAGCGGCGGACCCTTGGGCACATCGGCTAGGTGACCTATGGCAGACCTTGGATGACGAGTACGAGGAGCGACACACCCCTGCCAGGGCGGCCTGAGGGGTTGAGGGGGCCGGGGAGAAAGGAACATGGTGACAGGAGGAGGATGGGTGGCAGCAGGGGAGGGATACAGGGGCGTGGTGAGGAGCAGGGGGGGGGGGGGGGGGGGGAGTGCTGAGTCTGTAAGGGTCAGAGGGAACAGGGATAAGGGAGGGCGTTTCAGGGAAGGTGCGAGGAAGCGGCGGGGTGGAGGAGGATAAGGGGAGGTCTTGTGGTATGGGAGGAACAGGGGACGGGTGGAAGATGGGGGTTCTCAAGGTCTTGTGCTGCTGTGGACCGGGCTGCTCTAAGAGCTAGGTGTGCTTAGGATGGATGGGCTTGCTCTGTTTGCTTGTTTAGTTCTGGTTCCTTGGCTGCTCCTATGTCTAGTCAAGCTAGTTACCACCTGCCATGCTTGAACCTTGTGACCCATATTAATGCATGACTGCTTGAGAGAGAGAGAGAGAGAGATGGCATAGCCTTAGTCCTTAGCCATTTCTAGGCCTCTCTTCTCTAGGATCTAGTCCTTAGCCATTTCTAGGCCTGTTTCCTTAGTATAAAGGCCCTGGATCTAGGCTAGTGAGCTCATTATTCACTGGTGAGTTAGTATCACTCTCCAAATCCGCCGGCTCGTTCGAGAGAGAGCGAGAGAGAGAGAGAGAGATGGCATAGCCTTAGTCCTTAGCCATTTCTAGGCCTCTCTTCTCTAGGATCTAGTCCTTAGCCATTTCTAGGCCTGTTTCCTTAGTATAAAGGCCCTGGATCTAGGCTAGTGAGCTCATTATTCACTGGTGAGTTAGTATCACTCTCCAAATCCGCCGGCTCGTTCGAGAGAGAGCGAGAGAGAGAGAGAGAGATGGCATAGCCTTAGTCCTTAGCCATTTCTAGGCCTCTCTTCTCTAGGATCTAGTCCTTAGCCATTTCTAGGCCTGTTTCCTTAGTATAAAGGCCCTGGATCTAGGCTAGTGAGCTCATTATTCACTGGTGAGTTAGGATCACTCTCCAAATCCGCCGGCTCGCGCCGGCCGCCTTCGGCGGCCGACGCTCGCCAGCGCGGCCTTCGGCCGCGCGTGAGGTGTGACAAGGACTAGGGGGGACAAGTCTATAATCATGGAAGGCTACAACATGCACCAGTGATAATATACAACAACAAGATCACCCCCAGGCAAGGAGATACCGCCATGGGGAAGCCCAAGGCCAGGCCTGTAACCAAGCAGGCAGGCACAGGGAAGAGGGCCACTACTCGGCCAGGATCCAACTCAACCGGCCGTCCATCCAGCGTAGCACGGATGCGGCAGCTGGTACCACGTCCCGTGGGGCCTTCAGGGCGGCAAGAACAAGCCGCCTCAGCGCAGCGGGACCAGGTCCCAAGGCGGCGCCAGGGGAGTCCGGGACCAGCCCAATCAAAGGCAGCATCTCCAGCATCTGCATCGCCGCTGACACTCCCTCCTCCTGCTCCGTTCCCGACAATACCGGAGGCACCTCCCCAGGACGTATCTGCCGCAGCTGGAAAAGGTGCAGTTGGTCGAGGACCATTGCCAACAGCGTCAGGCATGTCCCCACGTGCCCAACGCGCTGGGCGACGCGGTGGGCCCTGCTCCGCGGCGGGGAGCCCGGCAGCGAAATCCCCTCCGGAGACAGTGGGGGAGAGGGATCAGGACCGACAGGCGGAGGAGGAGACGATGGCAGAGTTGATGGCGGGGGCGACTGCACACCTGGAGCCTCCTCCGCCCTCAGATACCCCATCACCTCCCACGGGATTGGGATGCGCCTCCCGCCAAGAAACAGCTGCGGGCATCCCAATGGCGCCGGCGACGGAGCAGCCGATGAGGAGGGCTGAGGTGCAGGAGACGCCGAGGGGCGAGGCGGCGGCGGCGGCTGCGGTGGAAAGGGGAAACGTCGCAGCGGCGACTGCGCCGGTGGAGATGGTGGGGGAAGCGGCTGCTGCCGCGGAGGTGCCAGAGGAGGCTGTGACGGCATTGGGGCGGGCTGGCAGAACTGACGCCGTTTTTGGCGGCGGCTCAACTTCACGTTCTTCCAACCACCAGGGGGCACAACAGCAGACGCTGGAGCTGGGTCTGGCGGTGGATCGGGAACCGTCCGAGGCGGTGACGTTGTCTGCGTCACCAGCGCCGGTACCGGCAGCGGTGTTGGCTGCGGCGATGACTGCTGCGACCGCGGCAGGGAACCTGGCCGACGCCTCGATCGAGGGGGAGGCATCGGTGGCCGCTGTGAGCGCCGGAACATCTGCTGCTGCCGAGGGCGCAGACACGCAGGAGCGCGACCAGGCGGCGAGCGGAAGACAGGGTCACGGGACCGGCGCCCCTGGACGCGCCGCTCACGGGAGGGGCGGGAGGAAGCTCCGTGCCCAGCCAGCGCCGAGGCGGCCCGGAGCAGGGCTGGGGCCTCGCGCCCCAGGACCCCTCCGGGGCTGGAGTGAGCAAGAGCAGTCGCCACTATCGCCAGAGCGTCGACCTCCATCTGTGGGACAAGAAAGAGGGGAAGGCGACGAGGAAGCTGACGTCAGGCACGTGGCAGGACACAACGCCCCGGAGGCAGCGACTACACAAGGCCCACAGCGGGAAACACGGAGCTCTACACGCTCACAAGGAATTACATGGGGCCGTCCGAGACTGGGACTGGCACACTCACCGTGGATCCCGGCGGGAAGAGAGCCACAGGTCGGACGAGGGGGGCAGAATGACGCAAGCCGGACCGGGGAAGGAGCGCCGAGCCGTGGGGCCCGAGGAGGAGGACGCGGGGCAAGAGGGGAAAGAAGGGGCGGGGGCGCAATCGTCGGCGGAAGGGAGGCGCTTGTGAGATCAGGAACGTGGAGGGAACGCCACGATCGCCCGGAGCAGGAGGTGCCACCGACGAATCAGGAGGAGAGGGACACTGGGAATGGGGAGGACGGGGGGGATTATGTAGCCGAGACCCCCGAAAACTCAGAAGAGATCTCGCTAGAGGAGGAGGGAGACACTACAGGAAGAGAGAGGGGACGGAGGGAGATTGGGAGAAACCCCCAGGACAGAAACCCCGGTGCGAGAAACCCCCAGGAGGGAAACCCCCAAGAAGGGGAGAGATCGGAGTAGTGACGAGTGGGAGCCAGAGAGAAACCGGGCAACCCAACGTACAGTCACCGGCCGAGCTGGCGGCAAACGAGGCCATCTGGCAGCAGGCAGCCACGTGGGAAGTTGCCCCACTTCAGCGGGGGGACCAACCTTTCTTGGTTCGGAGGATGCCCCCCAAAATTTTGGAAAGTTACACCCTCTGCGTGCTGACACCACTCCTACGCCTGCAGAAATTTCCCGACTGTCCAGGTGCATGGGTGATCCTGCAATTCCTCCCGAGGCTGACCTTGCGGCCCCTTCCCGAACCAGTTCAAGGAAGTCGGTGGGTTGGGATTGAGGGAAGGCTGCACCGGTTCCAGCAAGGCAGCTGGGCGGAACATTTCGAGGAGGCTAGGGTCATCCCCGATACGGAGAACCCGTCACGCCACCAAGCGGATGACGCTGGACTCTGTGCTAGGGCGGAAGGACTTATGAAGAAGGGTAACATCTCGAAGGCAGTTGCGGCGTTACGCGCAACCCCACTCGCCGAGGCCACACCAGCGACACTCGCCGCGCTGCAGGCGAAACACCTCGATGCTGCATCGCCCCCGGCAATGTTCGTTTCTGGCTACACTCATTCGGAGCTGCGGGTAACACCAGACGACCTTCGCGAAATACTCAAGCGATGCCCGAACGGAGTGGGAGCAGGCCCATCAGGTACCTGCTTTGAACACCTCAAAGACCCTGCGCTCGCGAGTGAGGAGGTGCTCATACTCCTCGCGCAAACTATCAGCTACCTCCTTAGCACCTTCCAGACGCAGGCGGTCCGCGATTTGCTACTGCCCTCGAGACTCATCGCTCTGGAAAAACCGGGAGGGGGCGTTAGGCCCATCGCGATAGGAGAAGCAATACTTCGCGTAGTGGCAAAGGCGGCTTTGAGGGAACTAGCACAGACCATTCGCGAATACTTCCTCCCCGTTCAGTTTGGGGTGGCAGTCACAGGCGGCGCAGAGTGCATCGTCCACTCAGTTCGATCTCTGCTTAAGGAGGACGAGAGCCTAGTAGCGCTACAGCTCGATATCGAGAACGCCTTCAACAGTGTCGAACGGCCGGCGTTCTTTCAGGCGCTCTCGCAATCGAGCTTGTTATCACTCCTACCCCTCGTACGCACGCTTTACGACGGCCCGTCTAGGCTTTTAGTGGACCACAAGCTGGGCGTCGATCAGATCATGAGCAACCGAGGAGTTCGCCAGGGTGATCCGCTCGGTCCGCTCCTCTTCGCAACGGCAATCCAACCGACACTTCTGAGCACGGCAACGCTACTCCCCGAGGTGGCGATCGTCGCCTACGCCGACGACATCACCATTGTGGGCCCTCGGGACGCGGCCTACGAGGCTTTTGTCACCATCACACGGGAGCTCCGATCGGTTGGCCTCCGCTGCAACATCGCCAAGTCCTCGGGGTGGGGACCGGATACGGAAGGGGGGAATGAGATCCCACCACCACAGGGCCTGCCCATGAACACCAACGGCATCGGAGTTTTGGGAAGCCCGATCGGCACGCCCGAGTTTTGTACGGACAAGGCACAGACAAGCCTCACAGAAGCGGCCGCACCACTACCCCTGATTGCTCAGCTGCACCCACAGCACGCTATGCTAATACTCTCGAGGAGCATCTCCCGCAGAATATCGTACCTGCTGCGGACCACCCCGGCTACAGTGCTGGAGAGGGAGGAATGGAGGTCGTGGAGCGAGACTCTGATGGCGACAGCCCTGGCGGCGGCAAAGCTACGGGTCCCAGCGAGTGAGCTGGAACAGAGCCTGTTGTGGCGGCAAGGAACCCTACCCGTCAGGCTGGGGGGGCTAGGCATCATCGACCCTACCTCGGAGGCACCGGCAGCCTACATCGCGTCAGTAATGGCAGCCCACACCCTACTGCGGCAGATGAACCTGCCAGAGGCGTACCTGCTGAAGAGGGCGGTCACACGGCTCGACCATGCGTGGAGCCCTGCCCCACCTGAAGTTAACCAGCTGGCCCCACTGGAGGCAGCCCTGCCGGCTTCAGCACGAACCGCACTACATGCGTTCAGGGAGCAGCCATCATGACAGGGTAACCTGCAGCTACTACTCTCCCGCCAAATCTATGAGAGGCGAGCAGCGGAACTACTGGCTGACACGATCAAAGACCGCCCAGGCACATACCGCGGGCACGCCATCCGCCTCATCAGCCTACAGGGGGTGGGGGCAGGGGACTGGCTACACGCTGTGCCTTCGAGAGCTGACCTTACATTTGCCCCTGGTCAGTTCTCCTTGGCGCTGGGGTTCCGCATGGGCATGTCCATGCCGGTCACTGAGAAGTGTCCCTGCAAGAGAGAGTATTCAGACATCAACGACACGAGCGTGCCGAACCATCTCCTTAGGTGCGGGTACGGGGGCGACGTCGTTAGAACGCACAACGCGCTAGTGTTTGCAGCCCTCAGGATGGCAAGGGAAGCGGACTTCACGTGCTTCCACGAGACATCGGCTTTTTCCCCACCGATCCTCAGGAAGAGGGGAGACCTGGCGATTCGAGACAGGGAGTCAAACGAGACCTGGGTTACAGACGTGACAGTGACTGACCCTGTGCTCCAGCAGCGCGACACCAGGGCACGGAAACCACCGGGGTGGGCGGCTGAGGAGGCATCGGCTAGGAAGCACAGGGAATATGAGGATCGGCCAGACTACGTCGGCTTCTTTGGCCTCGCGGTTGAGACGTATGGGGCTCTGTCCTCGGACACACAGGAGTTCCTACGGCTACTGGCCACCTCAGCAGCCAAGAAGAAATACCGCCAGGGGAAGTTGACAACGACGACTGCACGGCTCACTGCACACTACCGGCAGCGCTGGTCTGTGATGCTGCAGCGCTCCCAGGCAACATCCTATCTGAACAAGTCAAACCTCTCTGATGAGGCAGCGTTCCCCCAGGCTGCTAGGGACCCTTGGGAACCTAGCCTGGGGGACCTCTGGCAAGTGCTGGAGGATGAGCTGGAGGTTGTGATGGCTCAGTAGGTAGGAGTGGGTGTTGGCCAGTGATGTAGCCATGGCTCGGTTGCTGCATGATTGGCCTGAATGGCCTGCCTGCCTGCGCCCCTGACCGTGCTTGGCCTTGCCTGACAGTGCCCTGTCTCGCTGGTTTGCCTTGCCTCGCCTTGTCTGCTTGCCATGCCTCACCTGACCGGTTTGTCTGTGTGCAGATGTTCTGCTTGCTTCACGTTCCTGCCTTGCATAATTAGTAGCTCCAATGCCTAGGCTTGTCTAGCTCTATTCCTACCATGCCTGTACCCCTATGAACCTATCAATGAAGGACTGCTTGAGAGAGAGAGAGAGAGTGAGTGAGAGAGAGAGAGAGAGAGAGAGAGAGAGAGAGAGAGAGAGAGAGAGAGAGCGAGAGCGAGAGAGTCTGGTGCCAAGCAAGGAACTGGAGCAGAGTCTGGTGTGGAGACAGGCAACGTTGCCGATTGCGTTGGGAGGAGTGGGGTTGATAGACCCATTGTCGGAAGCACCAGCGGCATCTCTCGTCCCTGAAGGCGGCACAGACACTGCTGCAACAGATGCCGCCCTCACCGAACCATCACCTGCAGCTGGTGGCGGAACTGGTGTCACCTACAGGAGCGGGGGGGCGGGGGTGGGGGGTGCGCTAATCCGGGATCTGCAGGCCAGGCTGCTTGAGACAGCGCGGGAGATCCTGAGGGATCCAGGGGACAACACAGGTGGAAGGGGCCGCCTACAGGAGCAACTGTCGCAGCAGATAAATCTCCACCGGGCGGCGGAACTTGTCGGCAACACAAGGATGGACAGACCGGGGAAAGACAACGGGCACATAGTTAGGCTGCTCAGCCTGCACGGGGTGGGGGCCGGAGACTGGCTGCACGCCATCTCCACGCGGGGGGATCTCACATTCTCGCCGGGGCAGTTCGGAATAGCCCTAGGTTTTCGCCTAGGCCTGGTGCTGCCGGTGACTGACAACTGCCCATGCCATGGGGACCGGGCAAAGATCGGGGATCTCAGCTTACCGAACCACCTGCTGCGATGTGGGGAGGGGCCGGACCGCACTAACACGCACAACATGCTGGTGTATGCGGCATTGCGCATGGCCAGGGAGGCGAACTATCTTGCCCTGCACGAGACCACGGTCTACTCGCAACCTATTAACCCCAAGCGACCTGACCTGGCTTTTAAGGATAGGGAGTCAGCCAAAACGTGGGTGACTGATGTCACGGTGACGGATCCGGTCCTGCAACGCCGCGACACAAGGGCGGTGAAACCACCAGGATGGGCGGCCAAGGAGGCGGCGAGGGGGAAGAGGGGACTGTATGAGGGGCGGCCGGACTATGTGGGGGTGCTGGGGCTGGCGGTAGAGACATACGGAGCCCTAGCACGAGACACACAGCGTTTCTTGTGGCTAATGGGAACATAGGCAGCAAAGAAGAAGCATCGGCACGGGAGGCTGACCACAGTGGCCTCCAAGCTCACCGACCACTACAGGCAGCGCTGGTCGGTAACGCTACAACGGAGCGAGGCGAACACCTTCCTGGCAAAGTCAAACCGAGCCACGGAAAGAGCCTATCCCCAAGCCCCGGCAGACCCATGGGAACCTCGCTTGGACTGGGGACCGCCCCTAGACCTGTGAGGGGCGGGAGCTTGGGCCCTCGGGGAGGGCTCTAAGGGAGCGGAGCAGCTGCACAAGGGCAGGGAGCAACCCAGCCACTATGGGGGCCGTGTGCCGTAGAGATCCTTAGGGGTTGGGGTAGTGGCTAGGCCCTTGTCTTGCTTCTCTTGGCATGCATGTATTGCCTGGTTGTACCCCGTATATTATTAATGGACTGCTTGATAGAGAGAGAGGAGGAGGAGAGAGAGAGAGAGAGAGAGAGAGAGAGAGAGAGAGAGAGAGAGAGAGAAAGAGAGAGAGAGAGAGAGAGAGAGAGAGAGAGAGAGAGAGATGCTTAGTCCTCCAGCCCTCTCCAGCCTAGTATAAAGGCCCTAGGATCTAGTCCTGGAGCCTCATTATTTAGTTTCTGGTTCGTTTGCTCTCCTAACCGAGCGGCTCGCGCCGGCCGCCGAAGACAGCGCGGCCTTCGGCCGCGCGTAAGAGGTGGCAAGTACAACCATAGCAGCACTACTACAACTAGCAACGGCATACACACATGGCAGAAATAACAACCTACTAGCAAGGCCATGGAGCAACCACAAGCGGAGGCTACATCTGATCCGCGTCATACACAGCAAGCAAGCCCCGACATCGTGCGATGCAGCTCACGCACCAGCATCGTGCCTGCGGCGATCGCCTCGGATTCAGTCCCTGCATGCAACAGGCGGCGCAACCCACGCACGGCCGAACCCAGCGGCCCGACCCCCGCAAGCCCACCCCGCGCGGGCGCAGCCAACACGGGCGCCAGCAGCTCGGCGAGACGATCAGCCGCCGCAAGACAATCGCCCCGGGGGCCGCCCACCAGTGAGTCGCCCTGGGAGAGGGCGGCGTGGCCATACACCTGCACCAGATGTACGACCCGCAGAGCCTCCGAGAGACGCCAGATCTGACCAAGGGTCACTTCGGGAACCGGAACCGTGCGCTGAGGCCCCAGCAGCGCCTGGAACGGGTGCGCCGCACCTACGGACGGGGGAGGGGGATCCACAGGCAGCAGGGACGGATATTGCACAATCACGGGCCCCCCTGCCGTGGTCAAAAACTCAACCCCCGCTATAGGGGGTACCCACGGCAGCTGGCGGGGATTCCCCGGGACGGGGGTTGAGGCGGCGGGAACAGGAGGAGGAGGAACAATCGGAGGGGGACGAGGAGCAGCCTGGGCAGAGGGCGCAGTTGGAGGAGGCGCTACTGGGGTCTGAGCAACACGCGGGGAGTTGCTCTGGCTCGCCTGCCCGTTCCGCTCCTCGCGCACAGCAGCAGATACCACGCGCTGCAGGTCAGCCATCGTTACCGGCTGGTCATACCCCCAGCCGCCACCCCGCTGACGCGGCCCCCACCAGCCGCCTCGGCCGCCGCGTTGCGCTGCCCAGTTCGTCTGGGAACCGCGGCGACGAGGGGAATTGTGGCGGCGCCGGGACGTCTCGCGCTCGTCCTGCCGCGCGGGGGATTGAGGCAGCTGCTGACGACGGCCAGGAGACGGCGGACGCTGTGCAGACAGCACAGGGGGATTTGCCACCGGCGGAGCAATGGGAACGGCCACGGGCGGCGCGGACAGACCCGCCGCAGGCGGAGCAGCCACAGGCGGCGCAAGGGGAGCAGCTTCAGGCGGCGCGAGAGGAGCAGCCACAGGCGGTGCGAGAGGTGCAGCCACAGGAGGCGCGGGAGGCGCAGCCACAGGCGGTGCAGGAGCAGATCCCGCCAGCACAGGCAGAGGAGACACAAGCGCCGGAGACGGTGCAAACGGTTGAGCCGGAGCGGCGGGAAGCGCCGGCTGGCCCAGGACGTCAGTGGTGGCGGACCCCACCGACTGGGCCGGCACGCCGCCGTCAACAATCGCCCGCTCGGCGGCCGCAGACGGAGCGGCGGGGTCGGCAGCTTGAAGAGCGCCAAGCGGAGCAGACGCAGCAGTTGGCGCAGCGAGAGGGACAGGCGGCGCGACGGGAAGAGGCGCCGACAGCACAGGAGCCTGGCGACCACCGTCGCCAGGCTGAGACGCCGGCGCTTCGGGAAACGACGGTGCGGGGCGAGGAAGGTTTCCAACGTCTTCTGTCACGGGCTTCGGAGCAGGAAGTGTTGGGGGGCCCGTCGCCATGGTCCCCGTTCCGGAGGCAGGCGGTGGCATTCCGTACGCAACCGACACAACGCCAGCGCGCATTGGCGAATAATCGGTCGGCCCAGCAATCACCATCGAGGGGCCGTGGAGGACGAGGCTGAGGGAGAGTGGCAGCTAGCGGTGATGGAGGTGGACCGGAGAATGGCTTCCAGGCGGCAGGGAGACAGGCTTTAAGAGCTCTAGAACGGGCTTATGAGGAGGAGGATCGAGGGGACCCTTCTTATAGGGAGGAGCCGCTGCCACTAAGTGAGAGTGACGAGGAAGAAATTGTTGAAGCTGAGAGTCTAAGGCCTGGGAGGCAAGCTGCCGAGCATGAGACGGGCGTGGAAGGAGGAGTGCCACCGGCGAATCGGACGGCTACGATTCCAACCCCTGGTCAGGACGGAGCACCAAGGCGCCCTCAGAGGAATCAAGCCGCGCGCAATGGCAGTGCAACAACAATTCAAACACATTGCCCCCGCTACTACTCGCCGGGGGAATTGGCGAACCGAACAGACCTGTTCGTAGTCATCGCTGATTCGGACGTGGCGGCCCTTTGCGACAGTCGTCAGCCATCCCTGTCACGCCGATTACCGCCCAATTTATGCCAGCTGTTTTCACTGTCGTTACTCACCCCGCTCCTTCAGCTTGCGCGAAATCCGGATTCGGTCGCAGGGTGGCGACTTCTTCTATTTCTACCGCGGCTCACACTGCGCCAAACGTCGCCAAGAAGACCGAAGTGGCCCGAAGTCAAAACTCGTCTCAGAGCTTTCCAGCGTGGCGGAACCAGCATTTGGCTGGTTGGGCAAAGACAAAACAGGTTCTGTTTTTAGGACCTGAACCTGGTTGTTGTTTTCCCAGGTTGGAAAAACAGAACCTGAGGTTGTTTACCAACCCACCACCTGCTGTTTTGTCCAGCCAGGTTGGTTCTGCTGCTTGGAATTATTTGGGATCATCCCTGGTTGTTCCCAGGTTGATTCCCAAGGTCCTTGCTAGCTAGAGCTGTTTATTCCTTCTCTGTTTGTACCTGAATATAGTGAAATTGATTCAAGCGAATTCCTTCCTTGCTGGAATTTCGTTTCTACGCGGTGCGACAGCGGAATGCTACCCGAGTCAACGCTAGTACGCTATCACTCCAATGCTAGGCAAACGCTGTCCGAGCCATAACTTCGTAATGGCAGAACTTTTCGCGAGGCAAGTTGAATCATTTTAAAGCTCTTGGAGCGAGCTTCGATGTAGGAAATTCTCAGCTTAATCCGATCGACGGTCTGCACGATACGCTGCGCGACGTTCAAGGTACTCTTGCTGTTTTGACTAAGTCCCTCTTGATCCCTCTCTCTACAAACTCAGACCCGAGGATAGGGGCTGGTCTTGTACCAGGCACCCAAGGACCCTTGGAGGTGACCCCGAGGAGAGGTTTTAAGTTTGATAAAGTCTTAATAGCTTGAGTTTATTAGGCCCTTACACCAACAGGCATCGCCGCAACGGGGGTCACAGGCGCCGACAGAACCAGCACGACTGGTACAGCAAGTCAGGGCCAATCAAACGCGGATTGTCTGCACTCGATCGTAGTGCAATTTCAAACTTAGAAGCAAAATCGGCGAGACACGTCGTTTCTAGAGCAGTTGGTATACTCTTGTATCGTTCTATTAGAGCGTACGGTTGATAGATATTTGTGCTATCTAATTGTGATGCCTGCAACTCACTGATTGTCTTGAGGGTTAACAATCGTTCGGTAGGTGGGGCTGTATACACAAAGATTACCTGTCGTGTTGTCATGCGATACCTTAGTCTAATGAGCACATAACAAGCCTCTTGTGAGTTCAGCATCGCATTACCAAGAAATCGCAAAACTGTCTTAATACCACCATTTTGTGGTCGCGCCTTTTCGACAGCTTGCCGCATCATAACGCTCATACTTTTACTCGCCTTGGTCATGTACGAAACAATATATGCTGCAACGCTGTACGGATCAATGCACAACTGGACATCCATATCGTCATTCCATGCACGCAAAATGACTGGATTGTAGCTATATGTAGTCATCACTCACATTACGACAAAGAACGAGCGTAACACGCTTGAGGGTGGATCGAATCGCCATTACGTAGTCACACAAGGAAAGCCCTAAGATCTCTAAGAATGAATCGAACGTACTAGTAGAGGATGACAATCGTTCTAATTGCTCCTTTATAAGGCTCACATGAATTTTCTCTCTTATCTTCCCTTTGTGTTAGTGAAGTAGGCATGGGGTGCAATACCATTGTAGATGGAAGAGGAAATCTTGGAAACCCAAATCTGCATTTCTTTTAACGCTGACAAGATCGAGAATGCTTATGGGTTTGTAAACGCAAGAGTTGAGAGTCTAATCTTCAGACGACGAACTGATGTGCTTATTCGCGAACGCAATAATTTCTTCTATGCTATCACAATTGTCTTCCTTTGTTGTTTTTCTCCAAAGAACAGCGTGTGTGTGTAGTGCACCCTGATGTTGAAACTCGTCGAACGAGAAATAATCTGCGATACCTCCCAGTACGTGAGATAAATTATTAAGTAACCGATGAAACAATGCCTTTCTTCTGAATTCGTAATATCAAGTGCATGTAACTGGATCGTTTCTAACCAACGTACAAATCGTATCAAAATCGAGCGGCACGCTTGGACCATTCGGTATTTTTGCTGGATTCTCACGCAATTTGTTGAATCTTAAGAATATTTCTTGGAGATCGGTCCATTTTGTGTCCGCCATTGATAACGTTAAAAAAAAATGTTGGTCTTCCTAATTGATGCAACAACGCAAAAAAATGTTATCTTGCCTAACCCTTGTTGCGATCACGTTTTGAACCTGAAGGATCTTTTTTTTTGTACATTTTGAAGAAGATATTTGGAATAGTGGTCGAACGACGACTGTTTATGTGTTTCAGCTCCCAATTGGCTTTATCCGAATATGAAATATTCACATTACGTGATCCTCCACATCTTCGTTGATCACAATAAATCATTCGAAAGCTTAACTCTATAACATCTTTATCAAGTATAATGCATAGTGGTTTTGCATTTTCGTCAGGCGCCATCTGGACTATGCATTGTGAGGGTTGTTGATAAAAAGGTTCTTGTACTAAGAGAGTATCAATCACACCAACATTGTGATAATCAGAATCCTCACTTTCGTCTGAGTCGTAGTTGCTGATCCACATGGTATTTCAATGTTATTGTTGTTACTATCATTCGATGTTGACACATGGTCTCTACACTCTAATTGTTTCATATTAGATTTGTTGAGATGGATGCCGTGATCTTTAAAAATATCTTCATTGCAAAGAAAACGCAATGCTTTCAAAATTTCTGTTGGGCGTACATTTTGTTCATAAGCAAGCTAATTGTACTTTGATAATATGCGTAACATCTGGTAATCGTGGAAGAGCCTGTACCATTTTATCAACCTTTCACGGGGATATTTATTACCCCACCACAAATTCCAAATCGCTTCCCAACAGGCAACGAATGAATTTTCATGAATGGTATACGAGGGCTCACTAATCGTTCTTCTGGTGTTGTTATATCCGAAATATCATCTGGTCTCGTAGCGAAACCATACCGATTAATGTTAGACAAAGGTGATGCTTTTCCATTACTTTCATATTTTGTAGAATATCGACAGATACGTTTGAATGATCCCTCTATCTTTGATCCAACCATGTTATGCTCAAAATGCAATGTTCCGCATGCTTTGCACTCTATATAGGGACCGCACTTGGAGTCTTGATGAAACTTGATCAATTGTTTGTCTTTTGTTTTTGGCGTAAAAGGTTTCGTTTTTATCGATACGTCTTTAAACTTCAAGTTCAGGTCGCTATTTGGAATAGGAACGCCAGAATCAACGTTCAATCCGAATGTTACATCCATAGCATACCCCTGCGTATCGCCTATTTTTGATGTATGAAATATGCCCTTGCAAAGGCTGCATCGGCAGCATGTTGGAAACCAGAAAACGAATATGGCTTCTTGTTGTGCTTGACAACAAACTTGAAGTCATGCGCGATCGCTCCTACACCAACATATCAATTTTCATGTACGCCTTCTGTATGCGTATACTCACGACAGATACAAAAAGAACATTGCAGAGCATGATGCTCGTATACATCCTATCTTTTCGAACAAACTCTTACAGGTCGTTCTTCGCGATCGTTACCTTGATGACTAGCATGCAAAGCCATAGAGGCATATGTAGAACAAACGGTATCGACGCTAGCGACAGAATCACATGAAAGCTTATGCAAATGATTATCAACCAACTCCACGAGACTTACAGAGTTGTTCTGTGAATCCATGCGGTTTTGGCCTAGAAGAACCTCTGGTACGTTGGCTATCCTAATGTCCATCATATACTCACCTGACATATATCACGTGCCGTATACGATGCCGTTTTCAGCAGGAACAAGTAACGAGTAGTGTGCTCCAGAATAATCGCAGTGCAAATGCATCACACGCTGGGTAGGCGTACCTTGTGATGCCCGATAACAAGCGACAACTCTCGCCGTGTGTGCTCTGCCTCTGGACACGCGATGAAGGTGGCTGGTGTAGGACAAGCTGCATTTAAGGGAGCGAATGACAAGCCAATGGTGCTGCACGACGTTTTGCTTGTTCCCGACCTCAAGGCCAACCTCTTCTCCCTCCGTAAGCTCGCCAAGGCTGGGGTGAGCACTATTAAGGATGGGGCACACACTTAGAAGAGGCAGCTGGGCAACCAGGTACTTTGGGTCTGCACGAGAGCAAAGACGTGTACAGATCCATGTGGCAACTGCCGGCATTGGCATGGCATAGTGGGGGGCAGGCTAGAAAGGGGTCTGCGTCCCAGGGGGAGTGCAACGGCGTGGGAGCCATTGGCCAGATCTAGGAAGATGGATTGGGCATCAGCACACCAACGCTTGGGACATGTGGCAATGCACTTGCTGAAGCAGGTGGAGAAGGATGGGGACGTAAAGGGCTTGAAGCTGAACGGCCAGCCGCCTGATGAGAACTGTCAAAACTGTTTGCTCTCAAAGTTTACTGGTTTCCCCTTCCGTAGTGTGGCTGACAGGAGTAAGAAGCCGTTG